CCTGCCGTCGTTCCCTACTTCGATGATGTCCTGATCGCTGCAAACAGCCACTCAGGGCTCATCGAAGTACTCCAGAAGGTCCTCCGTTTCAGGGGCGCCGTCTCAAATTAAAACACAGCAAATGTTCCTTTGCTGTGCCTAGGGTGAAGTTCCTGGGCTTCTTAATTGACACCCAGGGCATCCACCCTACATCCTCCAAAGTTGCGGCCATAAGGAACGCCCCAGCGCCCATCACTAAGGCAGAGTTGCAAGCGTTCCTTGGCCTTTAAAATTTTTACGCACCTTTCTTGCCACACAAGGCGTCACTAGCCAAGCTGCTGCATCGGTTGCTCAACTGATCCGCGGCCTGGCGCTTGGGCAGCCGTGAAGCGCATGCGTTCATGGCTGTCAAAGCCATGCTTACGTCAGAGGCAGTCTTAGTCCAATATAGTGACAAGATGCCGCTGATGTTGGCATGTGATGCCTCCTCTTTCGGTCTGGGGCAGTTCTGAGCCACGTCCTCCCAAATGGCTCAGAAGCCCCAGTAGCTTTTTACTCCCAGACACTCTCCTCAGCTGAGAGGAACTACAGCCAGATTGACAAGGAGGCTCAGGCTGCTTTGTCCAGGATTAAAAAATGCCACGACTACCTCTACGGTCAGCATTTTACACTCTACACAGATCACAAGCCTCTCCTTGGGCTGACCCCTCCCATCCTTTCTCCAAGGATGACCCGCTGGACAAAGTTCCTGGCAGCGTATTCATATACACTGAGATACCATCCTGGCAAACAGCTGGGGCATGCTGATGCCCTTAGCCATTGCTCTCTTCCCTGCGCTGATCCACAGCCAGGTCCTTGTCTTTCAGTTCTTTCCATTGCAGACCTGGAACTGCCCCTGATGGCCACTGACATGGCAGCCCACTCCAAAGTCGACCCTGTCCTCTCACAGATCATGGCTTGGGTCCTAAGAGGCTGGCCTATGGGCGGAGTCTCCAAGGACATCCGGCCATTCAAGGCCCGTCAGTTAGAACTATCCCTGCACTGTGGGCGCCTATTGTGGGGGGGACAGGATCATTATTCCCCCCACCCTCTGCCACCAGGTGCTGTCTCGTCTCCATGCAGACCACCCGGGTGTTGCACGCATGAAGGTGCTTGCCTGGAGTTATGTCTGGTGGCCCCGCTTGGATGATGAGATAGCAGCCTGGGTGTCTAGGTGCTCCCCTTGCCAAGTGTCCCGACCTGCCCTCCCCGCTGCCTCCCCCTGGGAGTGGGAGATGCCCAGAGGACCTTGGTCATGCCTGCACCTTGACTTTGTGGGCCCCTTCCGCAGCCAGATGTTCCCGGCTGTCGTGGATGCATACTCTCGCTGATGTTGTCCACCACAGCTGAGAGTATGGTGCGGGCCTTGCGGCGGCTATTTGCCACCCATGGCTTGCCAGACATTGTCGTGTCCGACAATGGCCCACAATTCTCCTCCACGACATTTCAGGAGTTCCTGGCTGTGCAGGGGATCCACCATGCACCTGTCACCCCTTACCATCCGGCCAGCAATGGCTGGGCGGAGAGGCGGTCCGATCGGCCAAAGAGGCTTTGGGCTGGATGGACCGTGGCAACTGGCCGGCAAGGGTGGCTGCTTACCTTATGGGTCAGCATTCCACCCCTTGCCCTATCACTCGAAAGAGCCCCGCGGAGCTACTGATGGGCCGGCACCTGCGGACTACCCTGGATAGACTGCACCATCTCTATTCTGGGGAACAGCCTGGCAACCTGGGGGCCCCACCCCACACATTCAGGGAGGGGGACCTTGTTTGGGCCAAGAGCTACTCCAGGGATCCTAGGTGGGTGCCTGCCACCGTCACCACAATAACTGGTCCCTGTTCTTACAGGGTCTACCTACTAGAAGGCACCAAGTGGCGGCACCATGTAGACCAACTAAGGTGCCACCTACCACCAGAGGCCTCCACTCAAACTGGCCCGTCGAGCCCGGCCACCGTCGCCCAGCAGCTGGTCTCCATTCCGCCGCAGCTTTTGGCCTCATTTCTGCCTGAGGCCCTCCCCCAGTCAAGCCTCTCCTACCCTGTTACCGCCTTCCAGCAACCATTTATTTTACCGACTCCATCCGGCGTTGCACCCCCTCGGGTTACCCCATCCAGAGGCCTTCCTTGTTCAGGCACCGCCTACCGGCCAGTTTACTCAACCTCACCTCCAGCGACCGCCACAGCCTACCTGTATCTGCGGTTCCACCCTCTAGTGCAGGCCTTGGTGACATCACCCAGAGCTCCACTCCCTTCAGGGAGGAGCCACAACAGGGACATCTTACCTCTCCGGCGCCGCCTCCTGAACTGAGGCATTCTGGACATGTCCACCGCCATCCCACCTATCTTAGTGAGTGTGCATGCACAACATTTCCGCATGCGCCCTCACTAAGGGAGGGAAGAAGTGTTTAGTCCTCATGCTTACAACTGACAGCCGGCAACAGCCAAGCCATGCCTGATTGGGTAAGGCATGGCTGGCTGAGCGCGGGCTGTCAGAAACGCACCTATTGGTCGCCCTGCTTGACGGCTCCATATAAATAGCTGTCAAGCAGGGCGAGGTGCTGAATTGTTACTTACTTGTTATCGTTGCTTCTCTGTTTGGAATAAAGCTGTTTAACTTATCTCAGGAGCCTCCTGCCTCGTCAATCCTTGCTTCACTTCGCTTAAAAAATTATTTGGAAAAAGTGCTTGTGACAGCAGCGTCACTCTGCTAACTAATGAAAGCATGCCAACTTTTTGCAGCTTTCTGCACGAAGCAGGAAAAAATTCCACTGCTCCAAGAGTTGCATCGGTTTTGATGAGTGGATCTTTAAAGGATTGATTTTGCTTTCAAGTTTGTGGGAAAACTGAAATAAATGAATTCCCTAAAATGGAGCTGTGAAGTTTCTGCCTCACTATTAGAACCTAGTCACAGATATGCAACACTTGAACTCACAATCTCTAAAGCATTCTAGCTGGGTGCTGTAACTATTAGACAGAACCGACGTCTCCACTCCGGCCCCATTCTATTTAGCAGAGAGATCTTGCATGATCTAAAATTAAAGACAATTTGCTGATGATAGTTTCAGCGACAGTAATTAAAACAAGGTCAGTAATTCCATTATCTGCTTTCTCCCTAGGAGCCATGAAGGTCAATTCTGAGCCATGTTTCATTTATTTACCTTATTTATTTAAATTCTACCTTTCAACCTCCCTTAAATCTCTATGAAAAGTGAGGGCTATGTAGGAGACCAGTGGAATAAGGATAGATATCTACCTTGGACATCTACCAAGACAGTTGGTAGAGGACTACCAACAAGGACTACCAGTACAGAGACACAAAAAGACTCTCCTGCTGTCTTGTAGTTGCTTGGATTTATATGGCCCAACCTGATAGTTTAGAAGTAGAACAAACTAGGTAATGTCATCAATGCATCAGCTAGCTAGTGCCATAGTCAGCTGATGCAAGCCAAGATGGAGTGGCCCGATACCCAGAAATACGCTGTAGTTTTGGCAGCTTCTGGAATAACAGAATGAGCAAAAAATGTTTCTTTTAAATATAGAGGGCTTATAAAGCAATTGATTCAAATTTAGCACTGTAATAAAGTGTACCCTAATTGTCCTGTCAGTTTCTTTATGGAGAAGTTTCAGAAGGCTGAGGAATGAAGAGAACATGCCTATTTTGATGTTACCTCTTGACGTCATCCCTCTGTATAATTAAACATATTAACAATAGGTTTAATCTGCTGTAATTTGTATCATAATATATTGTTTGTTTAAACTATTGTTTCAAAGAATAAAGGGCTAGTAACTTCTATAAAATGTGAGCATGTAATTGCTTCTCCATTAGTTGCCAGGTTTTATTGTTTAACTATGTCAGTATAACTGTGGTTTATTTGGTTAAAACAACTTTATGGGTTTGCTCAATACACTGATCTAATATGCTGGAAGTTAAATTGGGGCTGTACAATACAAATTGTATGACACCAGCTATGACTCCAGAATCATACAAAATTAACTAAGTTAAAAGAAAAGGATAGCAAAAGGTTAGCAAAAAATAAATAAATAACCAGACTATGATTTTCCCACTGGCAAGTGGCAGGGAAACAAGCAAAAGTGATCGGAGTTAATGACTTTTAGGAGGGAATAGGGGGTGCGGCCAGGAAACAAGTGATAGAAAAAACTAAAATTCCTGTCATGTTTTTACTGCTCTATTCAGCAGGCATCATAAAATGAATGGTAAATGCCCATGCTTTAAATGCCCATAAAATTATGAACATCTTACCTTAATATTTTGATTGTATTGGTCTTTTTGTCTTCTACACTGAGTTATTATATTGTAGGGGAGAATCAGTATGATTACACTAATATGACAGACTTCCCCACAATTTAACTCAATGTATCTCAAACCTGGTAACTAAGGCATGTAGAGTATATCTGATATTTTCCAGATGTCATGGGCACATCTTAAAGTTCCCAAGTTTTGGAAACAGTGGTTTATAGTGATCTATATTTTCTTTTTCTGGGCTTCTACCTCACACAAATGAAACATAAATGAAGTACAAGAATTGGCTAACATGCCAGCCTGAAATAGAGTTTAGGCTCAGTATGTTATGCAAATACAGCCCATGTAAGACTTCCCAAACAAGAAGATACACTGGAATTTCATTTACTGAATACAGGTAATAAAAGGCAATGGGAATAGAGGCTACTTCTTTTTTGGCTGAAAAGGCCCAGGTGAAGCTGATACCCTTGAAGGTCATTAAAGAGTTGACAATGATTGCTTTCAATTAAGCAATGAGGCTTATGATAGGACATAAAAAAGGAATAGTCCCTGAGCTTATTTTGTAGTAGGATTGAGGTGGTGAAAGAAACAGGATGAGGCTGTTAAAAGTTCTACAGTTTTTGTTTCTGAGTTATCTTTTTTGTTTACTGACTTTTGCTAATTTTTCAGACTTTGCTACAGAAGAGCCAGTAACTAAATTGATCCAAAATGCTGAACCTAAAGTCTTCTCTCCTAGAGAGGGTCTGTTTCCCAGTTCTTGGCAACCCATCATGGTGCAGTGTGGAGAAGATGAAATGATGATTCAGGTTCATCGTGATCTCTTTCAGACAGGCCACTTTATCCAAGCAAAGGATCTCAGCATTTGGCCACAAGCCTGCCATTACTCTATTGTTAATCAGTCTGCTACCTTGATTATCTTCAAAGTGGAACTCCATGAGTGTATCCAGAACTTGCAGGTAATATTGCAAAATGTTGGGCTGATGTTTTTGTGTTAAGTTATCTGTTCAAGTAAATTTTAATGAATTAGAATGCATTGCATTTTTACAGAAAACTAAAACATAATTTATAACCCACAAGGACTGGAATTATTAAGCCAGAAATAAATTACTTTTTGGGTTAGTGAAAGATACAACATCCTTCTTAGTGCCAAGCTTTATGTTAGCCATGGGTCTATTATATGTAATTACAAATTTTAACATAACTATGTATAGCTATGTTAAAATCTATAGGATGCTTCCCTGTTTTAAAATCAAAAGGCTTAAAATCATGGCTATGTAATTTAGCTATGCATGGTAGACTATCTTGGTATGATACAATAGAATAATAGAGTTGGAAGGGACCTTGGAGGTCTTCTAGTCCAACCCCCTGCCTAGGCAGGAAACCCTATACCATTTCAGACAAATGGTTATCCAACATCTTAATAAATAAAATAAAATAAAAATGTAAATAAATAAAAGTAAATAAATAAATACTATTTTTTATTCCTGTTTTCTGCATTTCTATTTATTTCTGTCATCTCAATTCTTTCTATCCCTTGTGCTTCTATTCTTTCTATTGTTACTTTACAGAGCAGACCAACAGAGCCGGAAGGGACCTTGGAGGTCATCTAGTGCAACCCCTTGCTCAGGCAGAAAACCCTATGTACCATTTCACACTTTCTGGAAGGAAGGAAGGAAGGAAGGAAGGAAGGAAGGAAGGAAGGAAGGAAG